TGCCGATGAGCAGCCACAAGAGGGCGCCAAAGCCTGTAGAAAGAAACACCATCACTGACCAACGCGTTCTGGTGCGCTTCCAGGCCGTAAAAACAAGCTTGAAAAAAAATACCAAATATGACATAAATAACAGTTGGTAAAATAGATTATTCACCACAACACGTTTACAACAACGGACGAGCTTTTATGGGAGGTTTTTCTCAATGTTATCACCAGAGGACTTTATAGCCTATATGTGTGTAGCCTACTATATATATATATATATATATATATATATATATATGCTCAGTGTGGGCCTTTGAATAAAATTTGAGTATATCCTGGAGTATAATCTCCATATTCTCACGTTATCGTAGAAAAAAATAAAATTATATAAAAATATAATAAAACAAGCAACGCATAGGCTATGCAAACCTTTTAATATTTCGTGTTAAAGGTTTAATACACTTTTTTTTCGGACTATTATTATGTCAGGCTTTATAGGGTTAATACCATAGACAGTAAAAGAATACAGTTGGAGAGGAAACTCGCAGCTCTTCTTCTTCTTTTGTGTTTTATGACGGTTTATGACATTTCCGCCACCTACTGGAATGGGGGGGGGGGGGGGGGGGGTCATACACGCTTAACTGTTTCTCTGTTTCTAAATATATTCTTAAAGTTAACTGACATTAATTTCCATATCTCTTAGTTTTTCAACAAGCTGATTTCTTTCTCCTTTTTAGCCCTCACAGTGTAAGAGCACATGTTTCTGTTATTCCACAGTAATGGCAGCGACCTTACTCACTTTTTCCTATAATGTGCAGGGAATAACTAAGGTAAGAATGTCCTACGGAGCCTGATTATAATCTTCTCTTCCCCCACTTTAGGTTGAATGCTTAGTGTCTCCCTTTTGACTCCTTGTTCCATTCTTGCCACATGTTTCCAACTGCTGTTTTAATAATAGCCTACCTTTTACTTCTGTTTTACTTAATGGAATTTCTGAGTCAATCTCTTCTTTTCTACATGCTGTCTTGGCCAGCTTATCCACCACCTCATTCCCTTCTACCCCAATGGGTATCCTTAAAATTAAACTCTACTCCTGTTTGATTGATTATATAAATTCTGTCAAATGTCACATAATATGTGCTGTTTTATAATATATCCTGCGGATTTCCTGCTCTTTAAACTGTTTAATGCTGAATATGAACATACACTTATAGGAATTTCTTTCACCCACTGCATAGCCAATAGAATTCCCATTATTTATCTTGTGAATACAGATGGTTGGATTATCTCTTATCAATGCTGTTTTTAAAATAAGGAATATGGCCGCTACTGTATTCCCAGAGTCTGGATTTGTTTTACCCATCTGTATATATTTGAATACTTTTGAAATAGTTTTGTTTCAAATATTGATCCACTGTTATTTCTTTAGGCATAGGTCTACACCTTTCCTTTTTATTTATCTACATAGGAACATGGGTTGGAACATGGGTTCGGTATTACTGTTGAGCTTGTTTTTGTCATCAATTCCTATTCTTGGCATCTGTAGGCTATCAGTATTTCATCCCAAATTATAGTACTGTAATTTACATATACATGTTCCCAAATTTTTGTAATACCTCTTTGACTGGATGAGTTACTACATGCCCCCTTAAAGAACATCAGTTGTCCATCTTTAACTTGAGTCTCCGGAGGTCTAAAGGCAACTCTGAGACTGTTGATGTTCTAAAAGACCCATGCACTTCCTATTCTTAGTGCTTGAGATTGAATACTTTCTTTAACAGAAATAACTTTACTGATGCCATGTACTATCCTGACATAATCTATCATTGGTCTTATCATTGCACAATATACTCTTTTCTGTTCCTGTCGGGTTGCAGCCCAATCTACCCCTGCCAAGCATCTTAAAGTAGTTATTCCCTTTTTACATTAACTGTTACTTTCTTTATTTGTGATGCAAAAGTTAGTTTTTAAATCCATCCATTCTGCTAAGAACCGAATTTCTGATACCTGCTCTAACAAATGCCCATAAGGCTTCAGTTCGCTTTTTGAGAAACGTCACTTTAGTTTTAATAATTTACTGATAATCTAAAACTTTTCACTTCATTAACTGCTTTTTGCACACACTACTTTCCACATATGCTATACATTTCTTCCCCTTTTCCACAAGGCACCATCAACTGATTTATCAATTCCTTGTCCAATCATTGCAAATATGTCATTTATCATTATATTAAATAATACACACACTTCCTTGTGGGGTCCCATTATCTGTTGAATAAATCCTAGAATAACTTGTTCCGACCCTTACTTGTATGGTCCTTTTAAGGAAAAAGTCCATTATCCAATTGTAGGCCTACATTTTCCCTTTAATTCCCATCTTATCTAATTGTATTAAAAGTCCATTGAAGGGTCCGATTCCGGAATGCACTGCCGCTTCACGTAAATGCGTCTCTATAGCACACATTGTGTTTTATCGTGCGAATTATGCGCGAAACGTGCATATACGCAGTTTTCGCGTGCATTTGATACACAGTTCATTTGCGTGTAATAGCCTACACATGCACCCCACACACTACCCAAACGTATAATACACATGCACCCCACACCACTACTAAACCTACCCTAACCCATGCGTATCCTGTGGACGTAAAAACTCATTTTCGCGTATAAATTGCATGATAAACACACTGCGTGCTATAGAGACGCATTTAGTGTGAACGGGCTGGTATAGGCCTATCTTTTTGAGTGATTATTAATCAGTAATCAATATTTTTCCTTCTACATATTAAATGATTTGAATGACTTCTTCAAGATGATATTGTCTGTGCCTCTCACTGAGAGGAAGAACAGGTTATCAGGATGTTTTGGGGAAGTTTTCAGTTTAGCTCGGCTAATTTCAACCTTGACGCGGCTGGATCCTGTGAGCTGTGTGTGTGTGTTATTCTTTGTTACAGATTTGTGAAAACACTGGCACTATTGAAAAATGTAATGACTTCTTGTTCCGGACAAGCTGGTGCCCAGAAATGCAGTTCTGCCCTGGAAGGTCACTATGTGCCGAAAACCAGGGTCCGGGTGTCAGCCTGATTATCAATTGATATCTGCTTCTGCCTATCTGTCCATGTGTGGAAATGTGTACAAATGTTTATCTCTTTCTTAGACAATCAGAAACATTCAACCTGAAGTAATGACGTAGCTTAGACCTTGGTGAAGGGTATAATTGTGGTGTAAAATGTATTGTACGCGGGGCGGCCAACGAACTCCTCGAGAGTCTTGAAGCTAACTTCTGCCTGGTGAAATTGAAAATTGAAATCTTCAGTTTAGTATAATTCTGACTCTTGTCTTCAATTGACTGCACTTCTGACTCCGGGTTATCATTCATCATATCTGGGTCTTTAACTGTAAATTCCCCAAAGCATAGCCTTTTCCACATCGAAGAACACACTTACTAACACCTCCTTATTCACTATTGCCTATATCTAATTTCAGATTCTTGACATTATTGAATCCATTGTATTACATCCTTTTCTAAAGCCACTCTAACATGAGCATATTAGGTTTTTCCTTTTCTATTACATAGTTTAATTGGGTGATTATCATTCTCTCCATCACTTTAAAGATGTTAACGCAATTGGTCTATATTTGATGCTATTGAGTGATTCTTTCCAGGCTTTGCAATTGGAATTATTACTCCATAACTCGCAGCTCAAGCTAACACATCTTTACTGTTGGTTCTGCCCAGGTGTTTCCTTGCCACTCCCCCTTGTTAACTTGTTTAGCTTGTCCCCCCTTATGTATTTATAGGCCTTGTGTTTTACTTGTGTTTTTTTTCAGTCATTGTGTTTGCTGTTAAGGCGGTCTTCGTGTGAATATGTTTCCCAGTGCTTCCCAGTTTGTTCATTAAATTTTCCTGCACTTAGATCCACCTTCCTGACTGTTCATTAACAAAATCATGGCACTGTGTGTCATATGCGATAGCAAGGAGACATTGTGATACTTTTTTAATATGCAATGACATTAGCAAATCATGCTGATAAGCCTTAAATGAGCAGTGCCTTAAATGGAAAATGTCAGCAAGGGGTAAGAATGAGGGTTGAAAAAAAATCTTTTTTTTTTTTTTTTTTTGTGTGCAGAAAAAGGTTTGTTAACATTATAAGTGAACCTCAAGTAACATATTAAAATAATAATAAAAAATATACATGTATAATGACCACTTTTATATATTTTTTAAATGTTATACATTTATGTAGTAAATGAGAATCTATTACAGGATTTGTTGTGCATATGTCACGTTAACCTGCAGCAATCCAAGAGAGCCCACATGAAGACGAATGTTTAATAAACACAGAGAGAAACAAAGCACTGCACGCTATAACACAATATTAATACTAGACCGGGAACTGAGGAAAACCAAGGGCTTCAATGCACAAGTGAAGTTAATCAACAGGGAACAGGTGTAACTAATTAGAAACCATGGAAACTAACTGGTGGCAACATAAATGTGACAGTGAGACTATTTGAAGAATAAGTAAAAATATGATATTTGGGCTAAAAAGCACCCCCACTGTTGCTAAAGGCACAATAAATTACATGATGGCTGACCTTTCCATTTGTTAACATGACATAAATTCAGGTGGCAAATTCTCCACAATATATATTAAGTAATTAAGTAATTTCATACACATCTGATCTAACATAAAAGTTTTTGATTACATAATATATGTGTGCATATATATGATTATATTCATATACAAACACACATATTATGTTAACAAAAAACTTTTATGTTAGATGAGATGTGTATGAAAGTACTTAATTACTTAATAACTGATTAATAATTGACAGAAATGATGGTCATACAATAGGCCTAGATAGATGCCTTTTGAATTTTAGGATGGGGCTCCCTCATATTTGGAAACTGTTAGCCATCAACCTTTACCGCCCATTGAAGCGGATGGAGGATCTGCGCATGCGTAGTCACATCACAGTGGAGTATCTTATGGCGTGAGCGGAGGAGGAGCGGGCCCACGCATGCGCACAGCCGGCAGGATTCTGTCCCTCCATGACATCCAGCGGGACTGACTGCTGCTGTTGCGCACACGGAAAGAGGAGTGTTCGTCAAATACATGATCCTCCTAATCCCTCAACGCTCCAGGACTGATAGATAATAACGCGCTCGAGTGGAATCCGCAGGCCTAAAGGACGCAGATACGGATATCACGGCGGTTCGGTGACTGTAATTGATTGGGATTTTTTCGAGGATGAGGCTGATCAAGAGCACACATGCGGATGGAGGACAGAAGCGCGAGCTGCCTCCTCCATTCAGGAACCCGTTCGTGCATGACTTAAGATTCACGTCCGTCCAGAAGCTCCAGGTATGTGTTGCGTTTGTGTGTGCTGATGTGGATGGGGATGTAGGCCATGAGATGTTCCTCTCTGGCCTGCTCAGATGAGTTTCCTTCCTGTGCTACATGTTGCACTCAGTCTCGAGGAGCCTATCAGCATTCAGGAATCATGCATGTTCAGCTGCTGCCTGCAGCAGAAGCGCTCTTCAGCACACGTGAGGCTACAACGGGCTTTTGTTTTATTCGCTGATCTGCGCCATCAGCTCGAGTGTATATAACATGCTAGTGTGTGCAACATCCATCATACGTCATATCACTTAGAAAACTATCTATCTGTCTATCTGTCTGTCTGTCTGTCTGTCTGTCTGTCTGTCTGTCTGTCTGTCTGTCTGTCTGTCTGTCTGTCCTGTGTGTGTGTGTAGAGAGATGGCAGCTGCTTGACAGATAATCAGCTTTGCAGGGTGAAGATGAGTCCATGTGTGTTCATGGTGGTCTCTATCAATAAACTACAAGTTGCAGTTTTTTTAAAGCAAAAATCACTAGTTAAAATGTTGCATTTTTTCTAATGAATGCATACTTTTAACAATGTATTCAGCATTACAATTTGAGTGAAAAGTTGAAGTGGAACATGAATGAGAGGTGGTTCAGTGTTCACATGAGCTAAAGCTGATGATTGTCTGTTTTTTTTCCAGCGGGATCTTGATTTTCATCTTTAAATCATAAAACATTTTAATTCAAGTTTGAAATGAGAAAAAAACAACATGTTTCAGTGTAGTTTCAGACTTTAAGATAAGTTCCTGAATTCAAATAAATGCTGTATTTACATAATATAATCAGACTCCCTAAAATTATATATCCCTGATAAATATCAGAACTCCCTACCTTCCCAAGAATGAGGGTATACAGTAAAAAAGAAAAGGACTAGTAGTTTATTTATGCAGTATTGCATGAACTATAACCCTACACACATCTGATCTGCTGATTCTCATGGTAATGTGTGAGTTCAGTATGTAAAGGTGTGTGACAAGCAGTCTTTTCAGGGACAGCCAAGCCATTAACATGGGCTGAATTGACCTCTCCAGGATCCTTTAGCATCTCCGTGTTGAAGGCTTTTGTTCTCGGATCTATGCCTCTGAAATCCTTTAATTCTTCAGCTCTCCAATTAAACGAGAGGTCTTGAAGCCTCAGGTAGTGGGCCGTTTAAGACAAAAGTTTCTTATTTGTCAGACACCGACTTTGAATAATCAGTCTTCATTGCGATTGACCGGCTTTGTCAGTTTTCACGCTTGCTTTGTTTTCGTCTGTCAGGAAAGTTTTGTTACACTTCATATTTGTATAGTGATGCAACCGATATCACCAGAGCACTTTTAGTCTTATCATGTGCAGATTCTTGGCGTTTCTTGCTTGTACAGTGAATGATATCCCTTGAATTATTCCAGTGAAATGCACACGAAATCTCTCTTAGCTTTTCTGTCTTGTACGGTGAACAATATCCCATGAATTATTCCACATGAAATCTCTGCTTTCTCCTCATTTGGACTGTTTTCACAAGGGCAACTTTAAAACTTCACCTTCATTCCTTTTCTTCACTTCTAATCCCTAATAGCATAATTTCCTGTGTGAATGTTTCTAGAATAGGAAAATATAATTGTCAATATTATTGACTGAAAGCATTTTGAATGATCCAACTGTGTTATTTTAAGTTTTTCAAGTCTTATTTTTGTGTTGGACAGACTCGTCCTCCTGAGTCATTCATTCAGAGATTGTCTCTGGCTTGTCTAGTAATGCATCATAACAGTTTATAACCACAGATTTATATGTTTTCAGACTGTTTTCAAAAGCAATACATCTGCACCGGCTTGGGTATTATGACTTTTGTGTAGATGTCAATGTTTAAATGAAAACAACACATCACATGTTAAGTATACAGTTATTGCTTATGTAATGATTGTGTTATATATATACAGCCCACTTGTTTCTCAAAAGGTTTTTAAGTGAACGTCACGTGGAGCCATTAGTAGCACAAACACATCATTTTTGTCCACGCTGGGTGTAATTCTGTGCTTTTTTACTGCTTACTCAGCTTTGTGGGATGTGTGCGTAAAATTATTGTGTGAATTTAAATCGCTCTCGGCTCCTTGAGGAATCGTTATGATATAATGTTAATGTTTACTACAAATGGTATCAGTGCATTAGATTTTTTCCTGCAGAAGCAATTGCTTTCAGTGTGCTAATCTTTATTACATCTGTCATCAATCCTGAGTGTTTTAAGTGTTCATTTAAAGCGTGTTTTCCCAAGACGTTCAATTTTTTTTAACTCTTTCCCCGCTAATGTTTTTGAAAAAAGTTGCCAGCCACCGTCAGCATTTTTGACCAGTTTTACAAAAGTTTCATTGGATATTCATATTTAAATATCCAATATATCAAACGAAGACCCTCTGCTTTTAAACAAAAGACCTGTTTTATGCTAGCTTCATTCTTTTTTTTTTTTATCAACAACAACACTTGAATGTGTTGAAGTTTCATAAAATAAACATTTTGAGCAAAAAGCTGAGAAAATTGCGTTTCTGTCAAAGACTCTCATTCTGTTCTTTTTCTCTTCCCTTCTGCATTTCACCTCTGTTTGAGCTTGTGTACCGATTCTGTGAATCTCTTTGGATAAGTGTTTGCTAAATGAACGATTGTAGTCATAGTGTTTTATCATTTTCTTTAAGAGTGTGTGGGGAGAGGACCACTTCTTAGGGGTGTTCGATTCCTGTTTTTTGGAGTCGACCCCGATTCCCGAGTCGACTCCTGTTAGATTGTGTTATGTTTATCAAAATAGACCCACTGCATTGGTAGTATAGTCTTATGTTGAACTTTATTCTTGTACAAACAGATGCTGTATTAAGCAGTGCTATAGTATTAAATAGAAAAGTATCTGTAATGTCTGTGTATTCAACGCTATCTCACGACCAATTCATACGAGTGATTAAAAGGTGGCTAATTCGTAGCCTACTAATTCATACGACCTCACTTGTACGAATTCGTACGATTTGTCTCTAAACCCACGTGATGGGTAGGTTTAGTGGCGGGGTCAGGGGTAGGTCATTCGTACGAATTTGGTAACTCGGAAAATATGTACGAATTAGCAAAAATCGTACGAATTTGTACGAGTGAGGTCGTATGAATTAGTACGAATTAGCCACCTCGTAAAAATTCGTACGAATTGCCGTGAGATCGGGCTGGTGTATTTGACAAATATTGCATTTATTTCACTTCAGCTGTCATAAAGTATGCAAACACACGCGAGCATCACTACGAGAAGCACAAAGTGTCCGACTTCATTTCTCCATTTTCTGCTCCTCCCCGCCTGCACGCGGCCGACGAACCATAGACTGTAAAAAATAACACGAACACACCTCACGTCTTAAACAGAATCGATACTGGTAGTCGATTCCGGTCCTGGAGTCAATTCCGATGGCTATTGAGAGTCGACTCCAAATCACTACCATTTCTTCTTTTGCTCGCGCAACAACAGACATTTTATTTCTCAATTTTAGGCTGGGCTTTCCATTTAAAGATTATTCAACAAGTGTGATTTGCTCTTACATAGTTTTAAATACTCAATAACTAAGAGGGTTTTTGACACCAAATAATGCTTGAAAGTGGACTGGTTTTGACTCCGTTTGTGAGCTCATGTATGCGGTTGTTTTTTGCAGCCATATCAGGGCTCCAGACTGCGACCAAATGGTCGCATTTTGCGACTAAAATTGGAGTGTGCGACTGAATTTTACATCCAGTCGCACATGTGCGACCAGTAAATTTGCCTCACGTTAAACGCATGGTTAAGCATTGAAGGGGCGCGTCAATGAATCCGGAATGAGTGAGTGTGACAAGAATAGAGAGCGCGCGTGTCTGTGGGAAGGAGAAGGAGACAAATATCACAAGCTGCTATGTGCGTCTGAGCAATGAGCGATCTATCGACTCGTTACCAAGCAGCGAATGCAAACAAAATGAAAGTGGAACGAAAATACGCTACTCATTTATGCTTCACGGACCGTTAATTATTCCGGACCAATAATAGACAGAGCAGCGCATAGCCTTTCTTATGTATATCAATGGAGCAGTGCCCCGAACCATTGACAGTAAAATAAAGACCTGAACTTGCCAGTCGCGGGCCGATCTCGCTCACGCGACACTGTTACTAGGAGATCCAGTGAAGAAATCCATTAAATTCGCCTCAGAATTAATAACATCATCGCTACCAGATCCAGTGAGAAACATTCCGATTCGGCGCAGAGTTCTGTTATAAACCATAGATATCAGATCACACAGTGCTGACGTGGAAACCAGGAGAAAAACTTGTAGAAGTCCACAAATCAGCAACATTCACCATGGATTTAGGCTAATGTAGTAAGTAGCCTAACTCTAACCATAAATATGAAAATGTGAAATAGTCAAACGCAGCCTACACATCTTTTCTAGCACTTCAAAACTATAATATCATATAGAAATGCTTTTTTAAACTTATTTTTTATGTGATGACCAACACATTTTTTGTTCATCCTTCAAACATTGTCCTAAAACTAAACATTTTAAGATGTTGGATAACTCTTATTTAAACACTTATTTTAAAAAAATACCATTGTAAACAAGTCAAGTCAAATATATTTATATAGCACTTTTCACAATACAGATTGTATCAAAGCTGCTTCACAGTATCAGTCAAAACAACTTAACAGTGTTTGTTTATTACTGGAAAAAGACATCCAAGTTTGGTAGAGCTGATCAGTGGTATGATGGGTCATTTAATTTGAATATCCCCACAGGTAGGATGTTTATTGGCTATGTTCACTCCTTAATATACATTTTTTCACTCCTTTTTTTTTTTTAATTAATATTAAGACATAATGAATGATAATAATAACAAAAGTTAATTTCATCTACACCCTAAATAAAGCTTAGTGATTTATTGTTTTTTTCTTTTTGTAGAACTCAGTGTGAGTTCTCATTTGAGGTCATGCTGCCCTCAAAATTGAGTCTGGATC